CCCCCCCCCCCCCCCCCCCCCCCGCGCCCCCCCCCCCCCCCCCCCCGAGCATAATTGGTGGAAAGAGGCTCTGTGGACCCCCGGATGGAGCAAGGACAGGCTGCAGTCCCCGTCCCCCCCCTGCACATCCCTCTGGGAGGGAAGAAGCAATGACACGGCTGCTCATCCATTTTAGGCCCTTACAAATCTTCGAAATAAACTGTACAAGAAGGTGCTCCAATGAATCAGCCGGCTGTACGTGGACCATATATATTGTTTTTCTTGGCTTGACATGGAAGGGAGCCGGCCTGGCTTCCGGTGATGTCATGGAGACCCCTGAGAGGGTTTCTGGGCAGCAGTAATGGGAGTTTTTTGGCACGGATTTTTTTTTTTCTGAGTGTTTTTCAATTTCCCAAGAGCCTCCATTCCGACTCCTGGCTTGTAAACCTTGGGATGAGGTACCATCCCTTTATTCTTAGTGACATTTTTCTTCAAGTTGACAGCAACCTTGTAATATATGAAGTATGGAAGGGGCGGGAAACGCTGTTATTTTGAGGAGAAATGCTACATTCATGTGCAAAACGATGTGGATTTGAATCAATCAAAAGTCCCATGACTGACTGGCTGGCTGAACGTTCTCGATCGTGTTTCTCAGCATTCTGCAGCGATTTAGAGTAGGAGTGTGCAGAATATTTTGAATTTGAACTGTTTTTATGTTCCAGGGCCAAATGCAGCCTTGAAGGGCCCCCTTTCCTGACTTGAAGCAGCAGTAGCTTTTATTGTGGGGAGAGACGTTGCCACAGCTTTGGGGGCTGTTTTGAGGACACGCGCTTCCCAAATGATGGAAATGGGGTTTGAGGCTCAGGATGAGCCTTCACGGGTTCCTGCATTTCTTACGGCTGTGGCCTTCATGGCTCCCTTTGAGGTGCTAAGGGCAGATGGCTCTTGAGCACATGGCTGCTGGGAAGCTGGACTTAGCAGGATGCTGGCTAAATCCAACGGCCGCCACCGCTGGCTTGTCTAGGGTGGGGCCCATTTCACACGAGGCAAAGAAGGCAGATGGTGGAGGGTGTTCTTGGAAACCAAGGAGGGTTGGCAGGGTGTGTGGTTTTAAGAGGGAGAACCTTCAACCCACAACTCAGGCCTTGGGCCCTCGCTCACAGTCAGGTCTTTTCCATGGGGCCAGCGGTTTCTGTGGCTCTTGGTCCACCGTGAAGGGTGGGGGTTTTGCCCCATTTTACGAACTTTCTTGCCACATTTTCTTTAGTGAACTTAGTTCGTTTACTTTATTGTCATTGCACCTCGTACAACGAAATCAAACACCATCCTCAGTGCATATCATGACCATGAAAATAAGCACAAACACACATCCTTCACCCTCCACACAATGAACTGAAAACGCCTGATATTGCATTCATACTGCACTATACAGTAGAATTCAAAAGAGCTCCTGCCCTGGGATAGAAGCTGTTTTTCAGCCTATTTGTCCTTGTTTTTATTATCCTGTACCATCTGCCCGATGGTAATAGTTCAAAAAAAGGTGTGCCCAGGATGAGATGGATCTGTGAGGATGTTCTGAACTTTCTTAAGGCAGCGGGAGCTATAAAGCTCTTCCAAAGAGGGGAGAGGGCAACCCATGATCCTCTGGGCAATGACATTCACCCTCTGGAACGCTTTCCTATCTGCCCCCGTGCAAGCGGCAAACCATACAGAGGTGCAGTGAGTTAAGATACTCTCTCTGGTTCAGCGGTAGAAGGTCCCCAGCAGTGAGGTGGGGAATGGGAGGGAGGTCCCGCCTTTCTCCAGTGCCCCAGAGCTCCCCTCTTTCCCCCTCTTTGCTTAACGTCCCCATGAAGCCCCCGAATGAGGGTTTAGGGTCCTTCCCAAAAGCAGCCATGCAGGCAGTGAGACAGTGGGAGGCTTCTGCCTCCTGGGAACCTTCTGGGTGGAAATTGAAGCCCCGGAGGCCACAGGCCTGCCCCTCTCCCTGCCGTCCTCCCCCTGGGTGGCTCTGTCAAGGGATGGACTTGGAGGCGACTCTGCTCTTCGCCCTTGGAGGCTGAGACAGCTCTGGCCCTCTTAGCTCCTTACAGCACCCGACGACGGTTTTTCCCTGCACTGGGTCGGACCGATAACTGATCGCCCACCTTCTGAGGAGTGGGAGGGCTTGTTAGTCCAGCCCCTAAGCTTATGCAGGATGGTTAGGTTGGATCACGGTTGGGCTGCCTTTTGCTGGTTGCTTCATTCAGCACCCAGAATAATGTATTTGCAGTTGAGTTTCCGTTAGGAAACAAGTAGAACTTTGCAGAGTTCCTGGGAGCTGTGAAAAGCAGAGAAAATACTTGGCAGGCTGGGACGTTCTGAGGGGTGGGTGGAGATCCCCCGTGAAATAGGGCCAAGGGAGGCCCCTGCCTGCAGTCAGCCCCTCTCTTCCCATCAGGGCAGAGCTGGGGGGGAGGGAAGGGGGCTCTGGGGGCCCCCATCTAGGAGTGTTGGGTTTCAGGGGAGCAGCTGCTCCTTGCAGGGGGTCACCTGCCTCCCAGGGAGATGTCCGTCCTGCAGGTGGCTGCCCTGGTTGATCTCCCCGCTCACCGCAGAGCAGGGGTGGGGGGGCTCGGCTCTACTGGCCTCCTCCGTACCAGTCTGGGTGATTCAGGGTGGTGCCTCGGCAGCGGGATGTCCTGGGAGGGCAGCAACAATCGCACGGACAGCCTGGCTTCAGTGGGCGTCTTGGCAAGATTAGCGTCTAATCCTCCCTTCAGCCAGAGGGGGCTGAGCTGCAGCAGGTCCTCACCGCTGGCATCCCCCCCCCCCAGAAAGGAGGCCTTGGAGGAGTGAGCAGCCATGGGCCTTTCCTGGGGGAGAGGGGGGACAGAGGCCCACAGCATTGGAGCCTCTCGTCCCGATGGCAGAGTGGATGTTGTGGCAGCAGATTTGCCTGCGGTCGGCCTTGGCACAGCCTGTGCCAGGCTGGGACCCGTGGCCGTCCCCCCCCCCCGGCAAAGAGCTT